TCTCTCTCTCTCTCTCTCTCTCTCTCTCTCTCTCTCTCTCTCTCTCTCTCTCTCTCTCTCTCTCCCTTCTCTGGGGCAGAAAGTTAGCCAATTGGTGGTTAGGAATATTTTTAATACTCTACAGGTCAGCGACGGTCCGTACTTAGTCCTCCCAAGAAGCGGCGTCTTGCTGAGGCCGGTAAAAACGTCTGTATAGAGCAATCGGTTCGCATTAGCCTGTCGGGCGTAGGTCGTACTGTACACAACGACTCCTTAAAACATGATCATTTAAGACATTGAATTGAAAATTCGATTTAGCGAGCACCGTTTGTTATAGCTAGTGGGGAGGAAATTCTCGCATGACATCGATATCAATGGGAGTACATAGATCGAGAGACTATTATGGTCACTGAGAGATGTATAGTACTGAGAAAGATGATGGCAGACGATGTATGTGACTGTGTAGGAGAATGTTAGCGTCCTGCTATGAGAGCATGGATGAGAGAATATATGTACTGGTAGGGAGATGTTATAGCAGAGGATGTATCGTACTGTAGAGGAGGTGTGGTGACCGTCCTGTATGAGGAAGATGATGAGAGATGTTGTACTGCTCAGAGATGTACGTCACTGTATGAGAGATGACTGAAGAGCATGTATGTTTACTGTAGAGATGTAGAGAGAGGTATGTACTGGTTAGAGAAAATGTAGATGGAGATGTATGGTACGTAGTAGAGGATGATGAGGTGTATGTACTGTTAGATATGCTGAGACTGAGTTGCTATGTAACTGTTAGTGGGACTGTACGTCCTGATATAGAGGATGATGAGAGAGTATGTACTGAGAGGATGTAAGTCCTGTATGAGAAGGATGATGAGAGATGTATGTACTGAGAGATGTACGTCCTGTATGAGAGAATGATGAGAGATGTATGTACGTGTAGAGGACAGTACGTCGACTGTCATTGAGAGATGATTGAGAGTGTATGTACTGTGAGAAGATGTGACGTCATCGTATGAGAAGATGTATGAGGAGATATTAATGTACTGTAGGAGATGTAGAGAGATGTAGTGTACTGTAGAGATGATAACGTCCTGTATGAGAGGATTGATGAGAGATGTAGTGTAGCTGATATGAGATGATACGTCCTGTATGAGAGATGATGAAGAGATGTACTGGCTCTGTAGGAGCATGTAGACGAGATGTATGCTAGTGCTAGAAGACTGTAGAGAGATGTATGTTATGTAGAGAGATGAGAGATGTATGTACTGTAGAAGATGATTGAGGAGATGTATGTACTGTAGAGATGTACGTCCGGTGAAATATGAGAGATGATGAGAGAATTGTATGTAAGCTGACGAGCATGTACGTCACTTATGAAGAGATGATGACACGAGATGGTAATGTAACTGTAAGAGAGTGTACGTATCCTGTATGAGAAGATATGATGAGAGATGTATGTACATGTAGAGATGTATGTCCTGTATGAAGAGATGATGCAGAGGAATGTATGTACTCGTAGACGATGGTACGTCGCTGGTATGAGACGATGATTGAGAGATATATGCTGACGTTGTAAGAGATGTTTACGTCCTGGTATGAGAGATGGAATGAAGAGATGTATGTACTGTTAGCAGATGTAACGTCCTGTATGAGAGATGATGAGAGATGTATGTAACTGTAGAGAATGTACGTCCTGTATGGAGAGATGATGAGGAGATGTACTGTACCTGATAGAGATGTACGTCCTGTCATGAAGATGATGCATTGAGATATATGTAACTGTTGTAGAGATCGTACGAGAGATGATGTTACTTGTTGGAGAGCACTGCATTCCCGCACCGAGATGTATGTACTGTAGAGATGTACGTTCCTGGTATGAGAGATGGATGAGAGTGTATGTCTTGTAAGAGATGTAAACGAGATTGTAATGTATGTAGAGATGATGGAGATAGATGTATTGTAATTTTTAGACGATGACTGAGGAGATGTATGTACTGTAGAGATGATGAAGGGATGTATGTACTGTAGAAGATGTTACGTCCTGCTATGAAGAAGATGATGCAGAGAATGTAATGTACGTAGAGCCAATGTTAGAGAGATGTATGTACTGTAGAGATGTAGAGAGATTGTATTACTGTAGAGATGTGCATGATAGAGATGTATGTACATGTAGAGATGTAGAAGAGGGATGTATGTTACTTGTAGAGATGGTTAGAAGAGATGTAATGTACTGGTAGAGGATGATGAGGATGTATGCGTACTGGCTAGAGTAAGTAGAGAGATTGTATTGTGCTGATTAGTAGATGATGAGAACTGGCTATAGTGACATGTAGTGATTGTGAGAGCATGTTATTGTACTGTAGAGATGATAGAGAAATGTATTGATGTAACGAGATGTAGAGAGATGTATAGTCACTGTAGAGATTGATGAGCCAGATGTTCAGTGCTGACTGTGAGAGACCTTGTAGAGTAGATGTAATGATAACTGATAGAGATGTACGTTCCTGTATGAGACGATGATGAGAGATGTCATGTACTTGTAGAGAATGTAGAGAGATGTACTGTACTGTAGAGATGTACGTCCTGTGATGAGAGATGTGGAAGTGGAATGTAGTGTACGTAGTTAGAGATTGTACGTCCTGTTATGAAGAGAATGATGAAGAGATGTATGTTACTGTAGAGATGTAGAGAGGATGGTACGTCTGTGGATGAGATAGATGATTGAAGAGATGTATGTTACTGGATAGAGATGTAGAGGATACGAGAGAGTAGTACTGTAAGAGATGTAGCGTCCTGTATGAGAGATGATGAGAGATGTATTGCTACTGTAGCGATGTAGAGAGATGTGTACGTCCTGTATGAGAGATGATGAGATTATGTACTGTACATGTAGAGATGTACGTCGCTGTTGATGAGAGATGATTCGAGAGAATGTCATTACTGTAGAGATGTAGAGAGATGTATTGTCACTGTAGAAGATGTACGTATCTGTATGAGAGATGATGGAGAGATGTAAATGTATGATAGAGAATGTACGTTCTGTATGAGAGATCCGATGAGAGATGTATGTACTTGTAGAGATGATGAGAGCGATGTATGTACTGTAGATGTAGTGGGTACGTCCTGTATGAGAGGATGATCAAGAGATGTATGGTACTGCTGAGAAGGATGGTAACGGTCCCTGGCTATCGCAGAGAATGATGATGTATGTATGTTACTGTAGAGATGTAGAGACGAGATATGTACTGTAAGAGATGTTTACGTACTCTGTTTATGCAGAGATGATGAGAGATGTATGATACTGTAGAGATGTTAGGAGAGATGTATGTACTGTGATGGATTGCATGAGAATGTATGTACTGTAGAGATGTGGAGAGAGTGTATGTACTGATAGAATTGCATGCGGATGATTTAGCTGTACTGCTAGAGATTGGTACGTCACTGTATGAGAGGATGGGTATGGAGAGATGTATGTAAATTGTGAGGATGATGTAGGAGAGATGTATGTACTGGTAGAGATGATGAGAGAGTCGTATGTACTGTAGAGAGACGATGAGGACTGTATGTAGTGATAGAGAATGTACGGTTCCTGTATGACGAGATGATGAGAGATGTGATGTCTGTAGAGATTAAGTGAGAGATGTAGTGTACTGTAGGAGTGTAGCGTCTGTACTGAAGAGATATGAGAGATGTATGTTACTTGTAGAAGATGTGACGTCGTGTGATGAGGAGGGATGATGAGAGATGGATGTAATGTGGAGAGAAGGTCGGAGAGAAGGATGTAGGTGTACGTGGTTAGGATGTAGAGAGATGGTATGTACTGGTGAGAGGATGATGGAGGAGAGGCGTGTATGTATACTCTGAGTACGAGATGTAGAGAGATGACGTCGCTTGGTATGAGGAATGATTGAGAGATGCCTATGTAACTGTAGAGATGTAACGGTCACTGTACGTGAGACGGATGGCATGAGTTGATGTATGTACATGCTAGAGATGTAGGAGAGATGTTATGTTTACTGGTAGAGATGTAGGAGAGAATGATTGTACTGTAGAGATGATGGAGGAGATTGTACTGTACAGGGTAGGAGATGTGAGAGGAGATGTACGGTCCTGTATGAGGAGATGATGAGAAGAGCGGTAATGTACTGTAGAGATGATAGTTCCTGTATGAGAGAATGGGATGAAGGGGTGATGTTATGGTACTGTAGAGATGTACGTCCTGTTATGAGAGATGAACTTAGAGTGGAGATTTAATGTACTGTAGAGACTGGAAGGAGACGGATGTCATGTACTTGTAGAGATGTAGAAGAGATGTACGTCCTGTATGAGAGATCGTAGAAGAGATGGATATGTACATGTAGGATATGTGCAACGTCCTGGTATGGAGAGATGAAATGGAGGAGATGTATTGTCTGAGAGATGCTGAGAAGAGAACTGTATGACTGTAGAGGATTGGTAGAGAGAGTGTTAACGTCCTGTATGTAGAGACTTGATTAGAGAGATGTATGTACTGGTTAAGATGATGTGAGTCCTGTATGAGAATGATGAGATGTATGCTAGGCCTGAGAGTATGTACGTTCTTTTTGTGATCTGTAAGGCTACTGTGACATTCCCGTGAGCTGTGTGGCGACCGTGACATTCCTGTGAGCTGTGTGGCTACCGTGGCATTTCCGTGATCAGGGAATTTGTTGCATGGGGGAGATGACGAGTGCGGCGAAGTCTCGCAGGAAGGTTGTGTTGGTGGCGAGTACGGGAGTGCTGCTGCTGCTGTTGATGCTGTTGTTCACCATGAGGTTATCCTTGTTTGACATCGTCCGACAAACAGGTGATATAATTAGTGACTTAAAATGTATATAAACAAATAAATAAACAAATCAATCAATCAATCAATTATTAAATAAGTAAATAAATAATCAAGTAAATAAATTAATGGATAAAATATATAAATAAATAAACATCGCAATAAAAATACGAATATAACGATGCAGATAAGCATCTAAACGAAGATTCACGGCAAGCTGACGGCCATGTTTCGTTCATTGCAGGTAGCCCTCTGCCCGGTGACGTCGCTAATGACGTAGTAGCGACGCATGCGCAGCAGCAGCGGCGTGCCGTCGTGCTACTCGCCTACCACCGCGGCGGCAGTTCGTTCACGGGCGACCTGCTCAACGAGCATGCGCGTGTCTTCTACCTGTACGAGCCGCTACGGCAGCCGTGGTTCGCCGCCACCGCTGCCGCCGCCGCCGCAGACCGCCACCAGCTAGACGCGCTCGCCGTCCGTCTGACGCCCGCGTTCCTGCTGTGCCGCTTCTCCGAGATGTCGATTGACTGGATCGCCGAGCTACTGAAGAAGAATTACACTAAGCTAGCGCATACCAAGGCCCTGCTAACGCGGCCGGGATGCGGGGAAGCGGAGAGGACAGAGGAGGGGAGAGGGAGGTCTGCGGCCGACGGATGGTCGGAAGGGAGCGGGTGGTCGAAAGGAGGAAGGTCGGATCGGAGATCGGGGTCGGAGGAGGGAAGAGGCGAGTCGGGGGAGAGCGCGGGAGTGTCGGCTGCGCCGCCGCCCTGTCGTCTCGGAGCGCTGACGATCGCCGACGTGGAGGACGAGTGCCGACGTCGGGACGTCGTCGCCGTGAAGCTGATCCGGCCGAGCCTCGCCGACGGCGTCGCGCCGCTGCTCGACGACCCGCGCTTCTCGCTCAAGGTCGTGCACGTCGTGCGAGACCCGCGCGGCGTGGTCGCCTCGCTGCACAAGTTGCCGGAATACCACACCGATCACGTGACGGCCGCCATGATGAGCGCCGCCGCCGACCGTCTGTGCAAGCGCATGCGCGGCAATGTCGCCGCCGGCATGCGGCTGCCCGCCGCCAGCTACCTGCTGCTGCGATACGAGGACGCGGCGACGCAGACGGCGCGCACGATGAAAACTCTTTACGACTTTGTCGGCCTCGACGCCGGTCGGCAGTCGCTGGACGACTTCGTGGCGGCGCACACGGGCACCGACGCCAACGCTGACGATGGCATAAACTGGCGGACGGTGCGGCGGAATTTCACGGCGGTGGCGCTGTCGTGGCAGAACGTCCTCGACGAGAAGAGCGTCCGCCAGGTGGAGCAGGTGTGCGAGGACGTGTTGGCTACGCTCGGTTACCACCTGCTGAACTCTAGCAGCAACTCATATATATACAGTATATAAATACACGTATATAGGTATACTACTACTCCTACTGGGTATGGGTGACTACTCTGGGGACGTGTCAAAGTTGAATAAAGGGAGATCATCGTTAATCATGATGCGATGTGATTGTAACTTCGTGCGCCGCCTTTCTCATATTTATTGTGTTATGTCAGGTTGCATATTGTACTAAACACTCTATCGCTTAGTCTGGCGCCATGCATTAAGCAATGTTATCACAGGGCTCAGAAAGCGTACTCCCTACAGATACTTCTGACCAGTACTGGGCGCCTATATAGCCCAATACTGATACGAGCAACAGACTAATATCAGCAGGCTACGCGAGAACAAGAAAAAATGGAAAGTACAGACACGTGCTCATCGTCTATATAGCTTCCGGGCATGGACTGCGAGAGACATTCACGAGTGGAAAGAAAATATTGTTGTATAAGTGAGCAATCACAGCCAGCTTGCCTCTACGCTCCCGCACCTACCTGCGAGTTGAGCTAACTGTGTACAGTTCATGACTTATCGATACTATACGGTTATAAAGAACACCGTTATAGGCATTATTGCCATAGTTGGCATAACGCACTATAATTATTTTACTAATCTTATTATACAGAGACTCCCGGACACGACAACTACTAAGTGTATCACGCGAGAAGGGCACCAAGAATGCTAAAGCGAGCATACTACTTATTGAATCCGACCCATTCTTGAATTATGATGACTTTGCTGCACCAGCAGTGTCCCCGCTATAGTAACCGCGTAGCCTACGTTCCGATGAACTATCTCGTTATGAAACCTATCGGGTACACAGGCAGCGCCTTCTGTGCTGATTCGACAGAAGCAATTAGCTCGTTTTTGCAGTCATTTGATTCCAATCAGTGCACGAAGTGTCAATGACTATAGCGGGTTCCACGACTTGCACTAAAAATAGCAATATTACCTAAAATCCCGTGCCGCCGGCCATACTGGTAGTCAGAATTGCGAACACGTGTTACCGATATGCGCAATCTAGCGATTTTACATGGTAGATTCAGAAGTAGATAATAAGGGGTTTCCTATTATCTACTTCTGATAGATTGTACATACAATAGTGTTATTATAGTATTAATCTATATTAGCAGTAAGTGGATCCCAGTTTTGCAGACAGGTTTACCAGCGCGTGTTGGGGTGCTAGAGTTCGATATGATTGTGGAGACCCGTGGGGGACCCGTGGAGACCCTGATTGGGGGCGCGTTTCACAAAGCTCCGTTATAGTTCTCCGCTGAGTTGTCCGTTCGCTGATTAGCGAACGGAAGATACCGATCGCGTTTACGCGTGATGGCGAAGGTAAATCCTTGGGGTAGAGAAGGGATGGAAAGTCCGGTTTTGAAACGAGTTGAGGGGGATATTGTTGCAGCCGTCTAGTGAAATTGTGCACATTTTCGTATCACAGGAAAGTTTTCGACAAACTGCATCGGTACTCGAATCGGCATGGAAATGCTAGGAATGTGGGCGAGACAAGGATACATCATCTTACCATATAAAACGAATCAGTAATCGGTGAATTAAACAAACAAGATACAAACAAACAACGACGAAACATAAAATACAGATATGACCGGCTATAAGCTATATCGTAAACACGGATCCATAGCCAACTCTTTGTTTAATAAAAATTTCAATTCGTGGTTTTGCTATGTCGTGTATTGACCAAATGGTATCGGCAATCGTGACTCAAAAATGACGCGACGCGTGACGAAATCGGACGTACCCAATTCCCGGGAAGAGCTGTTTTAGCTCGTTCGTCACTTTTAATTTACGTACTATGGTAAGTTTTGTGCCGTAGTATATGCCTCTGGTGGTAGGGATAAAAACACGCTGAATGTGGCTTCCCTAAATTGCAGCATCTGAGGTCATACTTTGAAGCGGCTATAGGCGTCTCGCCCTCCTCATCGCATAGCTTACTATATTCTTTCGACGCTTTGAGTCACGCCACGCCGCTACCATGAGATTCGAATACCACGCTAGCTATCACTACGAAAATTAGCGCGCAGTGCTCGACAATTCGCGAGGTAATTTACTGTTTAAAAAAATATTTCTAAACTTGTGGCTATGTATACCGTGATTTTACGATGTAGCTTACCCTAGGGTCCCTATATACAGAGAGTTGCGCCAACTCAGGATTTGACTCCATGTTGTTTCCAAATGTATCCACACCGCTGCCGCTCATGTACAGCGCTGTATGGATACGCTGTACAATGATCCGTAGTAATTAATTAGACTAATCATGCTTCAATAAAAGTGCTGCAAAATTCACAGAGATTATAGCTAAGACATGTGTCTATGTGTATCTAGATTTCTAGGAATGTAACTAGTCATACTGCATTTGTGAACTTTATAAAGGTATGAACTTTCATCTATATTACGTTTGTGTACTGGCGCAAATCGTTCGCGCCATATGATAG